AAAGTTTTTCTAAAAACGTCGAGAGTTTCGACAAAAGCTTGAAGAAGGAATGAATGAATCTTGTTTAAGGTTTTTGCAAAGTCCAAAAAATGGACGGATGTAAATCTCCTTGGTTGCTAAAATTGTACATGGTACAGTTTGACATGGAAACATGTTTGAATAACTTATTTTTTAAACCATTCATACCAAAATACGATTTAAAGATGAAGTTTCAACTCACCAAATGTCATAACTACAACAAATATAATAAGCTAATCTGATTTATAAATACTTCGTTGTCTAAAATTCTGTAACAAAAACGCAGAAATATCGTAACTGTTGGGTAATAACATAAAATTTGAAATTGAACATGTCCCTTTAATTAATGAATAAAATCGTTCATCTTTCAGAACTACTTTCATGTATGTGACTGTAAAGAGTGTAAACAGCTTTGCACTGTAATTCTGATATTATATTATGTACATTAAATACTAAATAGTGTTAATATCGACGAGCATAATGAACGGTGGTCCACTTGTAGATCACATCTATAATATTGCTTATCTGCCTTGGATTGTGCTGGTTAATAACAAAATAAACAAAGCAAAACGAAGTAATTAGGGTTAAATTAGTCATTAAAATCTGGCTTATCGGTATTGATTGGGCGATAGAAAATGTAAACAACATAGCACTTACATCTGTTGACATCTCTGCTGCGAGGATGAACCCGTGAACAACATATTGTCAGCATCTAGTTATCATCCTGCAATATCACTGTCTATGCTTAACACTTTCAAATGGATAAATGTGAGTATGTTATTATACATCATTTTATTTGTGTTAGGTACATGTTTGGGATGAGTCTGAATTACCGTGTTTTGCCAAGTGGCAATAATTATCGTTATATGAGTTTGTGAAAACAAGTTACTGTTGTTAGTGGTGGAATTTGAATTAAAACAATTGAATATTTTTACCATTACATCTCGCAACTATATTCGGGCATGTTCATGCATATAGCGAATCAAATGCCAACACTTCAAAATGGTATAATGGCAAACATTGAGTTTTGGCAATTGTAGCTAAACTATCTATATATATTTGTTGCATATTCAGACTATAGTACGGAGTTTTGCGATATAGGTAGCTGAATATTAGACATTTGGTTAACGTAAGATATCTCTGCAATCATGATTTTTAGAAATACAGACGAGAAGTGCTGAAGATTACACCCACGAAGAAAAGCTACATTCAGTTACGCATAAAGAATGTCTTTATAGTTGAAAAGTGCTTCATAACTTTATATTTATAGGACGATTGTGCGATGTCATCAGGGATTCTGTTTCAAACACTTGTACTAGGGTTTCTATGGAACTGCGTCTGTACTAATTCTTGACGTATCTGAAAAACAAGCTTCTCCATCAACCAAGCGAGCATTGTATTCATGCGCTACACATAAATTTGCGAAAAAGCTGTCAACCACTTCCGTCAACATGCCATGTTTGATCTACATTCTACAACATGATATAAATACAAATCGGAATTGACTGTGACATAGACCTGAGACGCTTGTCAAAACCAGCTTACAATTTAGGAACATGATTTGACTGCAATGTTCCATCAACTCAATATTGTAAAAATGAGAAAGGGGTTATCAAGACAACCAAGGACAACACTGTGATATTTTCTTTTACCTTGAGTTAAATTATGAAGGATAGTTTGTCACTTAATTGTGAACTCTTGGTTGTCTGAATTATGCTGCAATAAAAAATACAAATACTCAAACTTCGAGCAGTGCAGTCGCGTCGCTGAATCGAATGCTTGAATTGTACGACGCACTTGAGGATTTCTGACATAATCAGCTAATCCCTAAGATAACTAAATATCATTCTGATATTGCACCGCATGCTTCCCATAAAGGCACATTTATTGGATGCAAGTTAAAACAGTTGTACATCGTCATAACTTGCTATATAAATTAGAAATATATGAATTTAATTTGACCAATAATCCATTAGTTATGGTACCATGTCGAATATTCATCTTCTAGTTAATAGATAAGACTAGAAAGAATTATCTAATATAAGAAACCAAAGTGTATAGAAATTGGAAAGTTGTGCAATATTGTTTGTATTGTAATCCAGCGGTAGCATTGGCAACACGAAGAATCACGATATTGGCATATTTATAGTAGTTTAAACGATATATATATTGTATATACGAGTCTAATATTCGTTTAAATCTGAGCGATTACTCTGGTAGAACTACAGCAAAATCTATTTTAATTATATTTAGGAATCGATGGTTTAAAATCCAGGCATAAATAATGCTAATCTCATACCTACCTGATTGACGAATGCACAAGCTTAAATATTTTGTTCTCTGAAAGTGAATATGAAATACCAAGGTCTTAGGATAATCAAGTTCAAGATATTGATGTGACCAAATGGAGATTTATAGTGTGTGTATTATAATAAATAGCATTGAACAAACAATTGAACGAAAGGTGTTTGCCTTGTGACCAGTTAATTTTTTTTTATACCTCGCAATTTTTGTTATCGACGTTTGGCGGACTTACGTATCGCAAAGAGATGCACACACAGCTCTTGTGTTAGGAATAGGAACTGCCCTATAAACTTCACAATATAACGAGACACATTAAGACACAACGTTTATCAGGAAGGAATTCAAGCAAACGACTTCATGAGGTAAGAAAAGTAATAGCATATGATGAAATATTTGGTGATAGGATGTGGTTGAAATAATCAATAGAAATAAATGGTTTCAACATATTGCATTGCGAAAATGCAATTTGAAAAAATCTATATATTCTAAATTAGGTCCAGACATTGTAGTCAAATCTTTAGTTATATTCCTTTCTACCAAAATGGTAAAACACATACGCGTGGAGAATGAATAAAATATTATATATATTTAGACAAGCTTAACTGGCTTCATCTCTGTATCCGAAGATCTATCGCATTTCAGCTTTTTTGTGATGTTCATGAAATATGATCAATATTGACGCGATAATCGACCACATGTACGAGTACAGCATCTCCGTGATATATTGCACAGTTTATACTTCATTTTAGACCCAAGTTAGAGGTTAATAATAATATCATCGTGAGTTTCAGAATGAGTGAACACAGCAACATCAGCCCCGTCAGAAAGACTTTTTCAATTGCGGTTAACTTTTTTACGGCAAGAAGAAATTTATTGGGTTCAGAAACTTTTCGCAGTCTAATCTTCATGAAGTGCAATCCAACAGTTTTTGAGCAAGGGAAAATGTAAATACGAACCAAAATGTTATAACTGTATATGTAATTTGATATTGTTTGCATGGAGTAATTGTAAATATAATGTAATTGAAACATTTAAGGGAGTAAGTGTAATTGAACTGAATTAATGTAATTGATCCAACTCTGGTGTACATATAAGTCATATCGTAATACCGTATAGTAGCAATTACATTATATTCGGTGATATACAATTTTACTCCTAAATTATTATTTCTTGAAACGCCTGCTTACTTTCCTTCAATTTCTTTCGCTTCCGTTCATTGCTGTGGCAATTTGCAAAACATCAGGTCTGTGGTTTGTTATATATTACTAGCTTTATGTTGTATATTCAAACAGTAATGCAATCTAGATTATAGACCAATTTTTTCTATTGCGGACTCCAATGGTTTATGATCATAATCAATATTTACAAGATTCGGTGAAAACAGTAGGAGTAAACGCTGAAATGAATTTTTCAATTCGTAACATGTCTTTGTTCACGCATATGGAACTTGTATCAAAACAGTTCCCATATACACTTGAAGCTGGAATCAATCGATGGTGTTGCTGTTCACAAATATCTCTAGTCCTACGATATCTAATTTTGTTTAGAATATGTTTTAATGCATTTATCAGTTGGGAAATACGCCCACTAACACTGACGTTTGTTTTTGTCTAATTTCAAATTAATTTTCAAATGTGTATTAAATGAGTGAATTTATTTTTGAAATTCGATACCTTGATAACTGTTAATCATAACACAACGCGGCATGCATAACGACAACGCACTTTTTCAATTGGGTGCTACTGCCAAGCGTGACAACAAAGCGAACGTGGATAACATATGGATCAGATGAATATAGTTCCAAATGCGGTATTCACGTCCATGTATCAAGCAACATCTATATTTGCATAATGCTTTATTGGGTTATGCGCTCACGAAGACTTTGAATCAACATCTGTAAGTATGGGAATGCCTTTCAATTTTGTCTATATCTATAAAATTATATTGGTGATGAGTTGGGATTGAACATTTTGAATGATATGCCAACATTTTAAACGCTGATTTTCTGAAAACTAGGCTGATCAATACTTGAGCTTAGTTTTTCAAATCTTCCATGAAATTGGGGTCTAGTGACAAGCGATAGTGCATAAATTGAAGCACTTCCCAGTAAAAGTTGTGCTGTGGTAAACAAAGCTATATAACTTTATTTTGTAATGCTAACAGAACTAAACGCATGAAAACAAGTTTCTTAATAATCATATCACGACTTGGGTGATTATTTTCCTGACATTTTTTAATGCACCAAACTTACCGAATATATATGATTTATGATAGCATTTCTATCGTGAATAATCGCTGTTACAATCAGAATCATTGCATCGGATTTATTTTTATATACATTAGTCAATAATACTGCTTTTTATCATTTTAACAATTGAAGTAGGCGCGGCTCAATATAACAAAAACCCTGTTATAGAGAAATTCTGTAAGTATATGAAAAAACAGTTTACTTTGATGAAATCCAAACTATAGACCCTGTGCATGGTTAAAGACAATGGCAGGCATTTCATTGGATCAGCTTCCCCGGTATATACGTTAAACCATATCAAAAACTATGTATCGAAATTGAATTTTGTGTCCCGCAAGCCTCAGCCTACCCTATACGTAATGGTAAATCCGGTCCTGAGTATGAAAAATAGCACTTGCAGTAGTTCCATTTCAAACAGGATTATGTCACAAAAAATAATATTCAGATTTTTTCAAGTTGGGTACTTGTCTGTTTATTTCCCCTATAATATACACAAGAAATGGTAAAAAAATATAACTGTTAATGTGTTACTAACACTAATGCTTAAATCGATCTAAAATATTTTCGAAATAAAACAAAATCAACATAGAAACCGCATCGGTAAATCTATCCATGTAACAAACTTTTACACAGACAAGTAAATTTATTCCATTTTTCAAAAGTCATATCAACACTGTAATAACATTGATATATGATTTTCTGAATAATAATAATAAAAAACATTCATCGAATTTGACCTTTCTGGAATAATATATGACACATTTCTGATTGATTTGTTTGTTATTCCTCATGACACTAGTATATTTCTGAACACGTAGAGGCATAAAACTTGGCAAATATTCCGATTTCATGAAGAGCATTAATGAAAGCTGCAACCTGTGACAAAGTAGGATTTGGACTTGGAAAAAATCCACGAATCATACGATGCTCTGAAAAACAGAAAATTTAAGTACTAATAATTGTATGCCCTATACTTCTTTCAATCTATCATATATTTTCTCACATTGCGATCTCATTATGTCATTAAAAAATTAGTTTCTGCGATAATACTCTGATATGATCAGACGCTACATACACGAAGCCCAAATGATAGAGATTTATTTCCAAGATAGATAGGGAAGGAAACGTTTTGATTCATCGAGCGTACTGTTCTCATTCAAGTATTTCGTCTGTTGGCTAACGCGGAACCGAATAATTTGAGCTGTTAATTTGATTTGCAATAGGTACGGGTACTTCTATCTTTGTCACAAAATGTATTTTATATTCCTATAGGGTGTCCATAAAGTCTTAAAAAAATTTAAAATTGCAGAGGGAATTTATCGATGTCATATATTGTCTTAGCCCACACAGATGTATTGAAGTAAAAACATTTAAACAATTACTAATTGAAAAACAACAAACCGGTTAAAATATATTGAGGAATGACTCCATAACAAAATTAAAATTGTAAAGTGACTTTATGGACACCGATTATTTCTACGATTTTTAGGTAGGATGACCCTTTTCATACCTTTATCAGCTATTCCGTTCGACGGACAAATGAAAAGTGTCAAATAATTTTCGTAGTCAGTCAGGTAAACAGAATTGCCATTGGTTAGAAAGTTGTCTGATATAAAAAAAAAATAGAAGTAAATTCACTTTATTGCAGCATAAACAATGATTCAGTTTTAAAATTATATTAAAGCTGAACATGTTTTTATATATTTACCCATATCCATGACGGTTTCGCTATCAAGTCCGTTCATTTTTACGTGCCCTTCGTGAAAGTATTCTAAAAATGAATGTGTGTTTAATAAAGTAACAAATGTTAATAAGAATACAATTGAAAAGTTGACTAACGTTTTTGCTATTCTATCACTCTGACAAACTGGGTATATAGCATTGGAATTTTTACAAATTTGGCATACCTTTTTTGTGATTCCCTCAGACGATAAGTTCCATCCACGCCATAATCAATATTAAGGTCAAACTCTACAGTACTGCGAAATAAAAGCACATTACAAAAATTAACATTTTATTCAACTTGAAATATAATTTTGGTTTCGATCTTCGACTGAAAACCATATTATTAATTGGTAATGTGATCAGATCCGGGCATCCGTAACTTTCAGACAGGTTCTCAAAGCACGAATGAAAATTTAAAAATATAAGCAATATATCAAAGGAAGATTTTTGCACAGACTTTCGTTGACTCAGTAATTGCAGCTATGTTTGATTTTGTTGTATAATTGCAAGATTTTGGTTCAACTGTATTTTAAATCTGTGTACAACCTTATTCAAAACATAATTTCGGATGGTCGGTTTTGGAAATTAGTCTGCACGAGCTTCAAAAAAGAGTTGTTTAATTGATAAATTATTTCATTTATATTCTTTCACTGAAGTCATTGTCATTTAATCCAGTGATTCCCAAAGTGGGCGATATCGCCCCCCAGTGGGCGAAAACGATACAGAGGGGGGCGAAAAAGTCTAAGGGGGCGATAGGGGGGCGATTTCACGAAACCTGTTTTATGTTCGGCGCACTTAATTCTGTACTCTGTGTGCATTGGCAGGCTTGAATCATGTGGGCGATATTCACACGCGAAAGAATTTCTGGTCTCGTCTTCGCAGTAACGTATGGTAGTTATCCCAGTGCGTATCCCAGTGGTCGGCAAAATACGGCCGGAGTAAAATAATCTGGCCCGGGACGATTCACTGAATGGACCTTTCCCCGACTTTTGACTGCGGTAAATTCTTCACCATTTTAAAATTTTCGGTGCTTATTTTAAGAGTGTTTCGCGAGTTGTTGCCTGTAAAATAGGGTATTTGTTTCAAACTATCATTCTAATACACACCATTTAACAATCTGTTTTTTAAAAGTACCGATAAAGAGTTTTAGCCAAGTCTATCACAGCTATTTCTACACTAATTTTTGATTGCTGTATTTAAACTGAAACTCATAGAAAGACAAATCATTGACTTATTTGATTTATATTTGAATATCCGAAAAACAACTAAAAACTAACGTATATAATTCAAAAACGCGAAAATGAGGTGGTGTTTACGACCACGCCTGAAAATCTGTCTGAGTGAGAGTGTTTGAGCGCCTGAGCGGATGCGAAAGGGGGCATTGTTACGTTTTTTGCATCTTGCTGATTGGCCAATGTCACGAAGTAAACAAGGAAGTCTATGCCCGGGGAAATATCCAAACGGCGGTTTTGACGATGAACTTTTTTATTTATAATCTACGCTCGAGGAGTAAATTACATTTTTCTAAGTAACAGAATTTATCGTGAGACACGTTTAGACTAAATTATACTATATCCTAACAATTTAGTGAACAGCCACTCGTTTAACGAGCCTACAATTTAATTATAATTAAACAAATGGAAACACGCAGCAAAGTTGATGCTGAGTGCACGGGTTCAATAGCGCAGTAAATATTGGAATATATTGCAAAGCAATTGGGAAATAAAATTCATATTCTATTCGAGAGATCCATCACTGCTTAATTTTTGTAAGAATGTATCTTCTTAGGAAGAAAATATTTATCAAAATTTCACAAATCATGCAAAAATATTCACTTCGATGTTTGGAAGTACATATTTGTGCAAACCATTATTTTCGAAGATGAACATTACGAAGAACAAGCAAAGAAGTGGGTTTGGTGATGCCCATTTAGAAAATGTTTCAATCTTGGCATCGTAAAGCTATCCAGCGTGATGCAGCAACGTGACAGTGTCACATTAAATATCATTGTAATATATTTTTAATAAGACAAAGAACAAGCAAAGAAGTGGGTTTGGTGATGCCCATTTAGAAAATGTTTCAATCTTGGCGTCGTAAAGCTATCCAGCGTGATGCAGCAACGAGACAGTGTAACATTTAATATCATTGTAATATTTTTTTAATAAGACGACTGAGTTGAGTTCACGAATTGTCGCAGTTTCGCGCGCTGTTCCGTTTTTAACTTTCAAAAAATATATGCGACCCGCAGAAGACTAGCAACTCTGAATTTTGTCTTGCAAGCGACAAAAAATTTGCCGACCCCTGGGCCGTAGCCGATAGTCAGTCACGGCTTCTTCCACATCCGAGTCAATGAATCCAAAAACAAATGGCTGGTTAATTATGGACTGGTGATCGGACTGGAGGCCGTTGATAGGATGAGGAATCGGGGATGAATTTTTCCGAAATATTTTGGTGCAGGTCATCAGGCTGTACGAATGAATGAGATCATTATTATAAGTTTGGGAAAATTGACTTTGTTTTTATCATTTTAATGTGAAATGGGGTGAATTTAGGAAGTGAAATGCTATGAGGCAAGAGTACACGCCGGTTTTTGAGGAGGTAGAAACCCTGGATTTCTTTCCTTTCCGACCTATTATATGGTGAAAAAGGGGGTTTTCAGCCGTAACTAACTATTGCTATTAAAACAACGAAATCACCTTTCATCAGTAAACGGCGGTAATTTTAGATATAATAAAAAACTCGCTGAAGAACACCAAGCTCATCTATCTCATTAAAAAACACTATAAACTATGATTTGTCTTCTTATTTGGTCTGTACTATATTCGTTGCAGACTTTATATTTTTTTTTGTAGTGCAGGGGGGCGATGAAATTGCATAAACTACTTTAGGGGGGCGATGGTCAAAAAAGTTTGGGAACCACTGATTAATCAACTATTCTCAAAAGCGTTGAATGAACTTAATATGAAATTTTATGAGCATTCATTCTTTCTACATCGATTATAGTGCCAGTTTCCGCCTCAACAATATTAAATGCGCGAAAAGTCAGATCAGGGCTTAGCAGGATTTTCTGTGGTGATTTAATATGTGTCTTAATTAAAATTAAATTAATTGAACACTTATAAAAAATAAAAAATAAAATTAACACGATCTAACTAAGCCGCTAGAAATATAAATTTGGGGGTATTTAAAACTTAAAAATGTATTTAATAATTTTGATTCAGATAGTAAATATATATATATATATATATATACATATGTCGAAACATATATATATATAACACAAAATATTGAATACTTTGTACATATTGAATATTTAAATTAATAGCTTGTATATCATTCAAAATTTTGCATACATTGATTAAACAATTTAAGCAGCGTAACACTTTTGCAACAAATCAATTTTTATTTTTCGCGTTTATTGCAAATTCAATTGAACCTTCTTACCTGACACCCTGTTCCTCTGTAATAACCTTGAACCCTGATTCCGTGGACGTGAAATTACTGAATCTGACACAAGAAAGCATAGACGCTATATCATCCGTTTGCAGTCCGGAATACCACGTAGTTTGTATTAGCTATAAAATAGGAAAAAATACAGAGATGAGTTTACTTATTAATTATTATTTATTACACGATACACAAAAATGGCTTTGACTAATAACGGATTGAGAGGTATTGCAGTTTAATATTTAACTAACATAGGCAATGTTTTGCATAATTAGAACAACAAAAACAGATAGCCGGAATAAATCAATTTTAGACTAAATTCTAGATTTATCTCTAATTTACCTTTTCAACGTCAAGTTCCATAGCCCGGGGAAGATAACATATCTGTGATTCGGCTACAGTTTGATTGTCCATGCTATGGATACCATTAGTATGAGTTATTCAACGCTCAAAAATCATGCTTACATGTACGGGAATATGAGTTTTACTTTATGGCGAATGACTTTGTTTTGCACTAACAATACAGGGTGTCTCAAAAGTAAGTATACACTTTTAATTTAGATTTTGATTTAAGGTACTCATCATAAAGCGTTCATTTCTTTAAAAAATATAGTATATGTAGTAAATTTAGGTATTGTTTGCATTTTTCAAAAACTCACAGAATGACAAGGGGATTGCCCAAGAAATGAGGTGCAAGGTGCTGTTTGGCACAAGCCTATAAATAAGACGAACCCAGTGCTTCTTTAACAGAGAATTTGTAATCAATTTCGGCTCCTACACGACGAAAAATTTTGTGCAATTCATCATAAATTGTATGGAAACTGGATCTGTAGTTGGTGCACAAAAATCAGAATGCCCAAGGAGCGGACGCTCTGAGGAAAACATTCAGGCCGAATTAATTCCCAATTCTCTGTTAAAGAGGCGCTTGGTTACTTCTTGCCAAACAGTAATTTTGCACCTAATTACCTGGGTTAATCTCCTTGTCATTCTGTGGGTAGTTGAAAAAATGCAAACAATACCTAAATTTCAATACTTATTCATATATATACTATGTTTACAGGAGTGTTATAATGATTTTTTACCACGCTTTGTTAATTATGCTGCTGTTGTTGTTCTTGTTGTCATTTTCTTGCGAAATAGAAATAAAAAATAACCTAACACAAACACGGACGACATTAGCACAATTTGCGAACAGATGATTTGGATGACCACCATTAGAAGATTACGTGGAATCTATAACGGACCGGCATGAATCAACCAGGCATGCGAAAATTGACTGATCACGGAATTCGATTAGCGGTGCTTATCCTTGGCTTAACACTACGCTCCAAAGAAGTTTGCGCATCTTAAATCGCGGCCAAGCGTTCGAACCATCGCAATTTAGTTTTCCAGGTAATTTGAGAGCTATCAAGCTTCTTCGACATCTTGCCCGAAATGAGCATTCCGCTGTGCCTATTTATGCTTTTCTTACATAAATAAAAAATCCGAACGTGACATGAGGAAAAATCACACGTCAAATGAAAAAAGAAATTAATATGGCGACAGTGTAGCGCAACCGTGAACTTGTATTTGACAACGTTTGTCGTTGGAAGGATCGTTTTTACTATCAGAAGCAAAGCTTGTGGCTGTCTGTTTTTCAGGCAATTTTACACTTATATAAGTAATATATTGTAAATAGGAAAGGGGCAAAACGCTAGTTACAGAATATGCAGAATTTCTATGTGAGTTAAAACCAATATCTTCTACAATTTAAAAATAAAATAACAAGAGGATTAAGTGAATTTGCGTCTGCGGTAAATTCAGAGTTCACGCTAAAATTGAACGCGCATGGTTTTCATCTGTGTCCACTCTTTCATTTCTTGCTCCGCAATCAAAAACAAACAACATTTCAGTTCAAACTACATGGAGCGCAATACAAGTCAGCGCATTTAACGACTTTCCCAGCGATCTATAACGGGAGTGTGCAACCTTTAACACAGTAGGGGTGAATACAAATAACTGGGTGAAACCACGGTCGCACCTTTAATTAACATAAGCTTTCTAGTAGTTGCACTTGCAGGTACGAAATTTTTGGCTATTGATCTTATCACGTGCGTTGTTCGCCTCGAACAAGCTAGTTATTGGGGATTTGTGACGTCATGGACATGGATAATTCAGCAGCCGAATGGCTTCTTACCCAAACGTCGTATTCACAGATAATTGGTTGAGCAAATTTTGTAGTCCAGCAAACCTAGTTGCGTCTGCGGAGGCTGCCCTGGTGATCAAATTTGAACCAGGACTTTCAGAGTCAATTTTGATATTCACAAGGTGATATATCCCACCTTATACAGCATTAAGTAATTGTGGAAATAGGCCTGGGCAATTCTATCGGAAAGGGGGCCGGCCTATGCTCGAAAAGCATACACCACTGGTGTATATACAGTCTGTAATTCTGATTTTTTGTTATTTCGAGAATTAGAATTTGAAATATTCGTGACAGACGTCGAAATTGTCAAAATTGTTTGTTTACGCTTGTCTATCTGAAAAAAATTGAGAAAAAGTGACAGCAAAACGATGTTTACATTTGTGATGATTTCCAAAGTCTGGCAGGTACTACTCGGATTCTAATTCCTGCAATACCTAAAAATCAGAATGTCTATGGACCTGATATGGGAACACTACGGCCCGCGACTCAAATCCGACCCATTGGGTAATTCAATCTGGCCGCGCCTGATGCTGCCGCTATCGAACAAAAACCAAATTTTGATGTTTTAGCTTAAAATAGCTCAAGACACGAGAAATATTGTTTTTTTTACGTTTGCCTTTGTAACACTGTAAATACTGTTCATAGAATTTAACCTTTTACGTATACTTGCGTATACTGGCATACTTACTGAAGGTGAATGCGTATTGTGTTTGTTTCGTTGTTCCCCATATATTGTTGAGCGAACGTATTACATGTAAAATCAATAAATTATAATGAAAGATAGGAATTGTGATAAAAAATAAGAATTGTTTCCCAGACCATTTTTTTAATTTTATAAAAAAATTCCCATACAAGAGTGAACAGTATTTAATATAAAGACAAAAAAGATTTCGCCAAGCTGAATATAAATGGAGTCAAATGCCAAATTGCCCAACGAAAGTTGAGTGCACGGAGAGTTGGACTAAATCGATTCATTCACCAATGAAATGCCAAAATATTGCCAAGTTATTAAATGCTACCGGTAAAAAATTTAAATTTGAATTATAAGTATCGTTAAACGTCAATTCCTTCCTATTTTTGTGAACTGAACCGGATATTTGGACAGAGAATATGCGCATGAACTTTCGATGACAGTTATGGTCAATGAAGACAGCCGGGATATCTTTAAATGTAGGCGTATGTAATAAAATCGGAAATGACAAAGTTACAAAATCACATCTAATAGGTCGTTGTCTTTGGAGGCGTCCCGCTTTGAAGTTACAAAAATATGATAACCCCGTAAGTATTATAGAATAACTAAAGAATATTAGTAGTACTATAGCAAATGCAAAATTCCTCTCTGAAGGGGTGGTGTGGGAATTGTTCCCCGGTTGGAATAGGCAGTTTCTTAAGACTAACAAAACAAGTTGTGACGAGATAAGCTGGCTATAGTAGAGCAATCCCGTATTATAATGGCCAAAGAGAGTATTGTATTTAGTGGCAGAATTACTGCTAAACCTGAATGAAGTCCCGCCTTACATATACTTTGTATGCAGCATCGTTATACTGTATTATGTGACGGCATTTACGGGACAGGCCAAAGAAAATTCAGTTTTAGGCTGTCTGATTTTTCTATATTTCAGGAGTTGTAACTCGAGAAATTCGTGCGAGACGTTGAAAATTGTCACAAGTGTAAACATCGTTGTGCTCCCATTCTGCTCCTTAAGCTCTCCCAGACGAACAAGTGAAAACAAACAATATTTTGAAACGAGTGCTGCAATCCCACAATCTGAACTTCAATGAAGTGTAGTTTCAGCATTATAAAACGTATTTCCATTTACCTGCTACATGCCTATCCGCATTTATCGAAATACTTGAACTGACGATCGGGATTCCGCAAAACGAGCAAACGCCATGAGACCTATTCTGACATCATAGTTAAAAACCAGGGCACCAATATGTTTCACAACCTCCTGGTAAATACTTTTTATCAACTCGTTGTTGCCTTGATTATATTTTGTCTAAGCGGTGCCCTATGGCTATGCTTAACATACGTCCCGTTTTAGGCGGGACAGTCCCACTTTTGAACACCTTGTCCCGGCGTCCGACCGGTCAGCAAAAAGTCCCGCATTGGCGTTCAGCCAGTCAGCATGATACACGAACATACCAATTAGCATGTTCTTGATACTGTTGTTGTGTAATCCCCGTAAGCCCAAAAGAGTGCTTAACGTTTCGAACTTTACCGATATTTAGACAGACAGCGTCTCGATGATAAAATGGCCAATGAAGACAGCCGTGACGCCCCTTTAAAATGCCCCTAATGTAAAATCGTCAAATTTAAGTTGAAAAAATCACAGCTGTGGTCTTTGAAGGTGTCCCGATTTAAGGTCACAAAAATATGGTAACCCTGTTTATGGGTAGAGGTTCTAATACCAGCCACTTAGGTTGGTTAAATTCGAATGACTGATTTGCTAGAAAGATATTTTACAACCTCATTGATTGCTACGCGCATTGATTACGTAATAACAGCAAATCAATTGACACAATGACAAAACAATAGCCTACCAAAATCAGTTCGTGTAACCTGAATCAAAATACAACTTAAAAGTGAGATGGAACAGATTGTTTCTAGGAATAAAGAACTGCTGGAGGAATCCTTTCTAGGCAAAGTATTATTAAAACGGGTTGCACTAGCATGAATACATTTTGTTGTGTATTACATTTCGTTCGTTCTTATCTTATTATCATGTTTCCCCTATGTCCTTATTTTGGGGTTCATATCGATGGCAGCCCTGAATATAAAGCTGGTAATATATAGCAAACCACCGACATTTTGCAAATTGTCAAAGCAATGAATGGACACGAAATAAATTGAAGGAAACAAAGCAGACGTTTTAGGTAATATTAGTTTAAGAAATTGTATATCACGGGATATAATGTAACTGCTACTAGACTGTATTACCATATCATTTCTGCACGATACACTTGAAAATTTCTGTGGTCAATACTACAGCTGTTCTTGTCTTATATGGCTCTTTGATGTTTTGACTTAGCGAGATATCTAAATTGCCAATAATCTATTTTATTTATTTATTTCGTGCTTATACCAATTCCATCACGAACTCAGACAAGCACCACCGATAAACTGCTTGGAGGTATTAGATAGAATGAACGTTGCTTCGAAGCGTTTCAGGAAAGTAAAAGTAGCGGTCGTTATGTGCGTCAG